CCCCAAAACCCCAAAACCCCAAAACCCCAAAACCCCTCACATCCATTTTACTAAGATTCGACTAATTTAAACATTAATTGAATAAATGATGAGTATACACTGCAATCTTTTGGTGAGATTTATTCTCTCTCGGACTGCATTTAGAATAATTTTTGCTAATAACATTATAAACTCTCGATTGAATCTAGCATTCTCAGAATATCACACAGTTGTCTGCTCCCTTTTTATCTCTTTTGCGATCTTAGATTAATTTTTCTCTCATCTTCTTTGAATCGATCTTGTTGACTTCAGACCAACTTTCTTAGTTCTTTTACAACTGATTCATCATTTGTTGCTTGTTTTCAAATTTCTTCTCATCAAAATCTATTTTGCAGCCTTCACATTATGTTCCATTATGATTATTAATAAGCAAGCAAATTGGGCAACTCCATTATTCTATTTTCTCAATGTTTTCTGCTTTATCGACTACAAATTTATTGTTATTAACTAAGTCCACAAATGATCCAGTTTTTCCCTATTTCTCCTCTTCTTTCCATTCATTAATTTTTAGCATGCCTCTGAACTATATATTCACATTATTCTAATTATAAAAGTCATACATTATTCCTTAAGCCATAAATTCTATCCACTTCTTGTTTAAAAGCCTTTCCATATAGTTTCTGATCAAAAATACTCAGAAATAGTTCTTCATGCTTATCTTTAATGTGTTGCATAAATTATGCTTTGCCGTCAATATTCAAATTCTAGCAATATGCACATACATACTATCTGTTGTCACATTTCTTCTCATGAACTAGAATTTCCCCAAGAGTTGTCTGGTATCCACAATCATTCTGCTTGCAAGTAGTTTTAATGCTGCCAATCATTCTTCGAGCAAGCACATTGTTAGTAAAGCCATAAATGTATTGCTCTGGCTTAGAGTTATTGGCTGACAATCTCTGGTTGCATTTGCTACATACAGTCACATTAGCACAGCAACCTTCACAGTAGAGAAGATGGCATTCGCAATCTGATTAAACAGCATCGATAGCAAAGTTCTTGCACTTGACACAGCGAAGTGAGTCTTCCATTTCTTGCATTATTTACTTATTATATCTTAAATTTTATTACACTTTCTATACCAAATTTGATTTCCTAGGCAATTATGCATAGAGGGGTTTTGGGGTTTTGGGG